AAGTGATAAAAGATCTCAACATTAGACCTGAAACTTTGACACTACTGCAAGACAGAGTAAGAGAAACATTAGAACTTATAAGTATAAGTAGAAACTTCTTGGATAGAGTCTCAGGAATACAACAGATAGGAGAAAGACTTGACAAGTGGTACCACATCAAAATAAAAACTTTCTGCACCAATAAGGACATAGTTACTAAACTAGAAAGGCAGCCAACAGACTTGGAAAAGATCTTTACTAGCAGCAATATATCAGACAAAAGCCTAATATCCAATATACATAAGGAGTTCCCAAACCTAATAACCAATCACTAAATGGGCAAGGGAGCTAAGGAGAGACTTCTCAGAAGAGGTAAGAATAGCAAACAAATACATGAGGAAATGCACATCATCCCTGGCCATAAGGAAATACAAATCAAAACAATTCTGAAATTCCATCTCACCCCAGTAAGACTAGCCAACATGGAGCTGGGAAAGTGGCTCAGTGGTAGAGTACTTGCCTTGCATGCACGAGGCCCTGGATTCGATTCCTCAACACCACATAAACAGAAAAGGCCAGAAGTGGCACTGTGGCTCAAGTGGTAGAGCGCTAACCTTGAGCTGAAGAGCTCAAAGACAGCACCCAGGCTCAGAGTTTAGGCCCCACAACTCACACACACACACACACACACACACACACACATACACACACACAAGACTGGCCAACATTGTGAATTTAAACAACAAATAATGTTGGCCAAGATGTGGGGAAAAGAAGCCCTACTGCATTGTTGGTGGGAATGTAAACTAGTACAACTACTGTGGTCAGCAGTATGGAGATTCCTCAAAAAATTAAACGTAGACCTTCCCTACAACCCAGTCATACCACTCCTGGGCATCTACCTTGAACATCATGAGCCAGGATATAATAAAGACACCTGCACATCCATGTTCATTGCTGCACTATTCACAATATCCAAGATGTGGAAACAGCCCAGATGCCCCACAATAGATGAGTGGATCCAAAAAATGTGGTACCTATACACAATGGAATTTTACAGAGCCACTAGATAGAATAAAATAATGTCATTTAGCAAGGCACCAGTGGCTCCCTCCTGTAATCCTAGCTACTCAGAAGGCTGAGATCTGAGGATTGGGGTTCAAAGACAGCCCATCCAGGAAAGTCTGTGAGACTCCTATCTCCAATAAACTACTCAAAAAAGCTGGAAATGGCGCTGTGGCTCAAGTGGTAGAGCCCTAGCCTTGAGCACAAAAAGGCTCAGGGACATAGCCCAGGCCCTGCGTTCAAGCCCCAGGACTGTATAATAAAAATAATAATAACAATAATAATAATAGTGTCATTTACAGGGAAATGGGTGGAGCTAGAACAAATCATGTTAAGTGAGGTAAGAAAAGCTTAGACAAATTTCTGATTTACAGAAATTAGATCTAAAACACACTGATATACGATTATTATGCAAGATTCTAGATACACACAGTGAGACCAAAAGATGTTACTCTTAAGAAAGAAACACAAAGGTGTAATGCCTAAGTGCCTCTTCGTATTTCTATAAAATAATATACATACTGAAACGAACTCCAAAAGGCCTCTTTTTCTTTCTTTTTCTTTTAATTTTTAGTTTTTGATGATTCATCCTTCTTTACCTTATGTATGATGTGTTCAAGTGTAGATCTTCAAAAGGGTTGGGGACAGGGTACAAAACTCGAGGAAAAAATGGTGAAAAGGTGCAGCAGTAGAGCTCACTGGACACTGATTAAAGTGAACCATACAACTTGTGGGTAGAGATGAGAGGGACTGGGAGGTAATAAGGGAACCAACATTGTACAAAAGGAAATGTACTCATTACTTGACTCATGTGATTATAAATATAAGATATGGAGGCTTGAATTCAGGAAGTGTGTGCTATCCCTGAGCTTTTTTGCTCATGGCTACTACGCTGTCACTTTGAGCCACAGCTCCACCTCTGCTTTTCTAGTTGTTAATAGGAGAAAAGAGTCACAGACTTTCCTGCCCAGTCTAGCTTTGAACCATGATCCTCAGATCTCAACCTCCTGAGTAGCTAGGATCTAGGGCCCAACCTACATTATTTTTTCTGTCATTCATTTCTTTTTAGTTTGTATGAATTGCATTGAGGTTTCATCATGATATTTTAGATTGCTTGATTCACTTTTGTATGATCTATTTATCCCTAGAAAGTTATAGGGTCTTTTTACTCCATTGCTTTGCAAATGGTTTGGCATGAATTAGAACTTGTGATAAAAACTCCATCTTTTTTTCAGGTTTCTCTCCAAGGTGATTATTGAACAAATCTATCAATATGTTAAAATTCACTAAATACTAAAAAACAAAACTCCATCTGACTGGCTTTCAATCCCTACCATCACTCTTTCCCCATATATGTCTATAACCACTGTTCCCTTGTTTGCAAAATTGAAATCTTAGCCTGAGTATGAAAATTCTTACCCAAACCCTCCCAGCTAACAACAATGCAGGCTAAGCCAGTCACCTTACTGACTCTTTTAAGGCATTTCATGTCTTTCTTGGTAGGCTTCAACATGAAAACCCCATTAGATGCGTGATATATCTCTTCCTGTCTTCTTGGTATGTGTGTGATTTCATCAGCTTGTATGTAATGAGTCTGACTCCATTTTTTTTTTTTTTGGTTCGGTCATGGGGCCTGAACTCTGGGCCTGGGCGCTGTCCTTCAGCTATTCAGCTCAAGGCTAGCCCTCTACCACTTGAGCCACAGCGCCACTTCCGGCTTTTTGCTTATGTGGTGCTAAGGAATCGAACCCAGGGCCTCAGGCATGCAAGGCAAGCACTCTACCACTGAGCCATCTTCCCAGCCCTCCATTTTTTTATATTTGAATGATAACAGCTTTTAATTCCCACTACCCTCTTCCCATGTAAGTAGACCAACTGGAAAGGTCCCAGTGCTCCCTCCTTTGAAAATTTTAAATCCCTTCTTCATCTTCAGGAACACTGAGAGCCATAAATGCTTAATTAAATGAGCTGCCTCAGTTTGTATGTTTATAAAATGAGAACTGTAACAGTACTTGTTCTGTTGTTTTGGAGATTAAATGATGGGTTTATACATTAAGGGCTTCATGTGATACCTGGCCCATCAATAAAAGTTATTGCCAATAATTATTAGTTATTGGCTATAACAAAGTCTTAATTATTAGTTATTATAAATAATACCTTGTTGAGTTTTTTCTATTAAGGAATTTATGAAATATAACAGCAATTATGAGATATATTTTGGCATCATTTAATTTATAGTTTTTTCCTCTTAGAAAGTACTATCATTTTCTAGAAAATTTTTCACACACTTCTAGTTAAAGAAAAAAGGACATGAAAAAAAACAGAGCTACCTGAGAGTGTGTATTAATCAGTAGGAGGTGAGAGAGAAGATATGATCAAAGTACACTGTGTGCACTTAAAAGGATCATAATGAAACTTGTATAAAAGGTACAAGAAAGTGAAGTGGCGCTGTGGCTCAAGCAGTAGAGTGCTTGCCTTGAGCTGAAGAGCGCATGGACAGCACCCAAGCCCAGAATTCAAGCCCCATGACCAACTAAAAAAAAAAAGATATCTAAAAGGTATAAGAAAATGAAAAGGAGGGATGAGGGAAGGATGATAAACAAGGGTAGATAAGAGAGTGTGAATAGGATCAAAATGCATTATTTGCATGTATGGACAATTTGTGCAATTAACATACACTAATAAAAAATAAGTTAAGTTTTAAAAAACTTCCAACTAGATTAGCTCTCTAGAGGTTACAAAGAGTAAAAGAGGAGTGGAGATTCCCTGAGGAGGGAAGGAAATAGGGAAAGTATTATTTACTTCTAATGTTATTTAAATAGTATGTAATTATCTGAAATTGTGTAATTATCTTCCTTATCATTTGTTCACTCACTCACTAAGCCTCTAATTTGTGTCATGTATATAGTCAGCAGAAGGAGTGGGGAGATAGTGATGTGTAAAGTAATAAACCCATAAAGATATATCCACTTCCTAGCCAGGCGCAGGTGGCTCATGCCTGTAATCCTAGCTACTCAGGAGACTGAGATCTGAGGATCACAGTTCAAAGCCAGCCTGGGCAGGAAAGTCCCTGTGAGATTCTTATCTCCAATAAACTACTCAAAAAAGCTAGAAGTGGCACTGTGGCTCAAGTGGTGGAGCGCCAGCCTTGAGCAAAAGAAGCTCAGGGACAGCGCCAAGGCCCAGAGTTCGAGCTGCAGGACTAGGGGAAAAAAGAAAAAAAAAGTATTTCCACTTCCTGAAAAATAAAATTGAAATCCTCAGTCAACGATTGGATGTCCCAAATCCAAGGTGATGGGGAAGGTTTTGCTTAAAGCACCAAAGAAGGCAGATTTCTTTCTAAACATGTGGAAGTGCCTTCAGCTTCCTTAGTCTCCCAAGTAAGCAGACTCCCTAATTTTCTGGGACTAAACAAAGCCGTATCCGAGCCAGTTTTACTCAAAATCCGGTCTAGGTAATAGACAGCAAGGTAAATCCCACTAAAGCCAGTCCTTCCACCACCCCCGCCTTCCTCCCTTTACACTGAGTGGCTAAACTGTGTAGGAATGGCTGCCCTTTCAGCCAATGGACGAAGCAGAAGCAAAAGCCTGTGTAAACAAACCTAGAGTTGCTGCTCTTGAGCTCCTCCCCCACGTTGGGGCCGGCTGCATCGTTGGCCCAATGCCTATCATGGGTTAACGTAACGTCCTTTCAGCCAATCAGAGCCAGGGTCTCCCGCAAGGCGGTGTTCCACCGAGGAGAACGAAAGGACATACATTAAAACCAATCACAAACCGGAACTTCTGAGGGAATGGGTGGGCACTGCTTTACATTTAGACCAATAAAAATCACATATTCTCTTCTAGGCGCCTGAGCGGCATCCTCTACGGCCCAATAGGTGAATGGGGCGGTGCCCAGCAACCAATAGCTTGGTTTCGGGGGCGGGGTGAGAAGCCAGTGTGCAGTAAGAGGTAACCAGGAGTGTTAGTGGCGCTTGTCCAGTGCTGAGGCTTACATTTTGGTACTAGAGGCCGAGACTGTCCTGGTGACGGCGTTTTTCGAGGGGCCGGCTTTGACTTTCCTAGGAGTGGCAGAGTACAGTCCAGAGGAGAGGCTTCTGATCAGCCCAGGTGAGTTCGGCGTCCGGGCTGCGGGGAAAGGACCGCCGGATCTCGGGGGTGAGGGGTGTCTCTGCGCCCCTCTTGCCGCCGCCGTCTAGGCTGTGAGGGAGCGGCGCGCGCCCGCTAGAGAGCCTGTGAGGAGAGGAAGCCCGCGGGGTCCCAGGTCGGGGCCGCCCGAGAGAACGGGCGTCCGCTTGGGTCACCCCTGTCCCTTGGGATCCCACTGGGTGCTGAGTCCCTTTTTCTCTCACACAAATTCTGTTTATCTCAATCCTCTTCTAACACGTGGATCGAGTTCCTGGGCTTGTGATTCCTGGTACTAAGGTCAATACCGCGAGGCAAACTGAGCAGTGCCGCACCGCACCTCTCGGCCCCGCGCCCTTTCTCCTGGCGGAGCTGCGAGGAGTTGCGTGTGTGGCCCCTCCCCCATAGAGGGCGCCCCCCTCCCACGCGCTTTCTGCGTTTCTGCTACTCCACCTTCCCCCTTTTACTCGTCCCTTATTCTTCATCCGTCATTTGACACACAAACCCTCGCGACTGCTCCTGACGAGGTCTTCCACGAGTGAGTCCTTTAACCCCTTCCCCCATCACCCATAAATTTCACCTGCACCTTTCTTGGAAACCAACATTTACTACTTGGTTCTTTTAGGTACTTGAAAGGTGAACGCCAGCGAGGCAGAAGTTGAGACAAGCCGAATACACTGAGCTGGGAGCTTTACAAGGTTGGGAACTTAAATCGGATTATTATTTATTATTTTACTTGAGATGGTATTTGATCGTTATACCTTTCTTGGATACCTCAGTAAAAGTTCTTTTGATGGTAATTGGTGAAAATGCAGGTGAAAAAGATTATTGGCAGCAACAGATAAAATTTGTCATTGTTTAAGTGGATGGGATTGGATTGTGTTTTAAAGAGCTTAAGGAAAAGCCTAAGAGTTTCCAGTGTAAGGACCTGGCCAGCCTAGTTTGTCATAAAATATAGGACATACTGCAGCATGGTCTGATTTGATCACCAACCTATGAATGAACAGTAACAGTGAGTCTGTTTAAAAACAACATTGCACATTCTATTTTTATAGAGTATTGGTATTTACCTTCATTGTATAGTCATTTGCTTTCCAATTGTGCTGGTTCTAACCATATGTTTCTAGTTAATCACAGTATCTTGTACTTAAAGAAAATTATGCTGAGGTTCTTATGGAGAAAAAGCTAATGTAGCACTCTTGGTTTTGAAAGAGGTTTAAGAATATTAAGAAATTGGACAATGATGATTTTATTGTGAAAGAGGAAATTGAAGTGTTGGAGTAAGATCGATAGGACTCAGGCTGCGTGTATGACAGAGATATAGGGGAGGGGAAGGGATGGACATAGGGAGAGAACTAGCACACATATACATATATATGTATATACATACACACAAAACCTTGTCTATCATCAGTGTTTAGTCTCATGATTTTATATAAACTGGAATTGTTTTTGTTAGTTTTCAGTAGAGAAATGTAAGCTATGATTTTAACATCATGTTCACTATCTTAGCTAGAAGCTTGAAAGTTATTGTGAAAAATATCTTGTTTTCTTTATCCTACTTGTAACATATCTATATATCTAAATATCAATCTTCTTTCCTGTGTTTTGTTATGGTAAAATTTTATCTTGCATTTGTAGATCTATGTCATAATCTAATGAGCCATATGTTTGAGGCTTGTTAATATTATTCTAAAGAGAGCAAGATCTTAAAGCCATTCTAACAAATGCCACAGTATTAAAAATAAAAGTATTCTGGGCTGGGAAGGTGGCTCAGTGGTAGAGTGCTTGCCTTGCATGCATGAGGCCCTGGGTTCGATTCCTTAGCACCACATAAGCAAAAAGAAAAAAAAGCCAGAAGTGGCGCTGTTGCTCAAGTGGTAAAGCACTAGCCTTGAGCTGAAGAGCTGAGGGACAGCACCCAGGCCCAGAGTTCAGGCCTCATGACCGGACCCAAAAAAATAAAATAAAAGTATTCAATAATAAGATTATAGCAGTCTCAAAGTCATGGACAAATTGGACATCTCTGAGTTAGTCACTGTTGTGAATTGATATGAATGCAGTTGAAAACCAGTTATTGCCAGGCACCAGTGGTTCTTGCCTGTAATCTTAGCTACTCAGGAGGCTGTGTTCTGCGGATCTCAGTTTGAAGCCAGCCTGGGCAGAAACATCTGTGAGACTTTTTACCTCTAATTAATCACACACACACACACACACACATGCACGCACGCACGCACACACGCCAGAAGTGGAGCTGTGCCTCAAGTGTTAGAGTGTTAGCCTTAAGCAAAAGAAGCCAGGGACAACATCTAAGCCCTGAGTTCAAGCCCCAGGACCAGTGCGCATGCGTGCACACACTCATGCATGCACATACACACACACACATGCATGCATATACACACGCACACAGAGAACCAGTTATTTCTGTGTTGTGTTTTCAGGTATATTTGTGTTCAGTATATACTGGTTCGCAAATTTAGAGCATGTAGCTATAATGTTTTCCTAGAGACCTGGACTTTGAAGAGTTCACAGTTTAGTGAAAAAAAGACCTAATAACCAATTAAGTGCAAAGAGAGGTTCTGAAGTTCAGGGTGTGTACAGGGTACAGAGAAGCACCTATGTTCTGGCCTTATCTCCTAGGGCTCTAGACTTCCTAAAGTGCTATTTCCTGATCTACCTGTCTTACATAGACATACTTTTAAATCCTAAAAACAACTCATCCTGGTAGATTATTTTCTTTATTTTACAAAGGAGAAAATGAGGTTGAAAAATGCTTACCTGAGGCCGCCCCCACTAACAGGTGCTGGAGTTAAGATTTAAAATGTGTCCCATTGACCCCAAAATTAGTTTCTTGCACTGTACTGCCCCCTACTGTCTCTGTGCTTTTACCATTTCTGTATAAGAGCCAACCAAGAAGGTCCAGTATCATGCTTTATTCTACCCTAGTTTGGGATGTATGCAAGGAAGAATCCATTTTTTGCCACTACATACATATCTATGAATAACCCCCGAAGTACTACCAGTACTAATTTTATCAGCAAGGCAAATTTGCAAACAAATAATAAGGGCCAATTATGCTTGTGGGTGACCCCTAGATATTATTTCATGACACTCTACCAAATCCTCCATAAAATGTTCCTATAGCTTCTTTGGTAATTTTTCCAGTTATTTATTCATTCAGCAAGTATTTATGAAGCACTTACTGTAAATCATACTCTGCTTTAGATGGTGGCAAACAAGATAGAGACTGAGATTCTACCCTGTAGATTCTAGTAAGAAAAGTAGATAGCTAAGACTGGAGCTCAGGGAGAGGTTCAATTATAAATTTATTAACCAAAACGAAACGAGGTGTGCTACCTCTTACTTCATATCCCCAAGAATACTTCCAGAACATTTCTGTTCTACTCTTGTACATAAACTCTTCCAAACTTCTCTCCATTGGCCTATGTCAACCGGTATTTTCATTTGTTGATTTTTGAGGACATTTGCCCAAGTAACTGGTAGAACTACTATAGAAGAATCATAATTCTGGACTCTGTCAACTATCAAGTGATCAACTTTGGTTAAGGACTTTGAGTCTGTTTCCTAATTTTGTTAAAAATTTGTAAGTTTCAGGGAAGAAGTAGGTACACTATTAACTTGGTGATGAGGGTAGACATAAATGTAAATGAGAGATCATTTCATCATCCATGTTGTTTTTTGGTTTGAGTGCATTTGAAACTTTATTTAATAATAGTTTAGCAGTATTTAGGATAGGATTTGAGCTCGAAAGACCTGCCTTCTTGCACTTTGTCCATCAATATTTTTATAACATCTGATTTGATTGATCTGGAAACTTCTAAAATGGAAGAACCCTGTATCAAGCAGAATTTTTGAGCCAAAATAGGCTCTCAGTTGTGAATTACTTTCAATTTCAGCTGTTTGTTGTCTTTAACTGAGACACTGAGTCTTACTTACTCTAATTCAAAGAAATAGGATTGGTTTCATTCATCATCTGTGTCACAGGTTGCAGCATGAGTTAGAAAGAACTTCTTGCAGATAGTTTCTTTTCTTCAGAAGATAACTGAAGGGTACCAGTCCTAGGGTTTCCTGTTGTTCAATTCAAAAGCTTATCTAACAACATTATAGTGTTTAAACAACACAATAATTGGCATATGTTAAATCTTAAATATATCTTCTTGGTGTTATATTTAATATTATTATAATGTGATTGTATGTTCATATGGCTATGTCTTCTTTATTAGACTTCCATGAGCATCTTGAGTTTTGCTTGGCCTTTGCCTACCACTTATTTTTCCTTCCCTTTGTAGTTAAGATAATAGACATACACCGAATGCTTAGTTTTGGCCATTGAGATGGATTTTTCTGACTATTGCCTCAGCAGCCCTATAGTCTCAACCTCCCACCCACATGGCTATGGTGACAAGAAGAAGGGTCTCATTTATGACAGAGTTGGCTTTGAACCTGGATCTTTCCAATCTTGACTTCCAATTAGCTAGGATTACAGGTGTGAGCCACTAGATCCTGGCCAAAGAAATTGTTTACATTCCAAAATCAGTTTGCGGGCTGTGAAGGTGGCTCAGTGGTAGAGTGCTTGCTTTGCATGCATGAGGCCCTGGGTTCAATTCCTCAGCACCATATAAGCAGGAAGTGGCACTGTGGCTCAAGTGGTAGAGAGCTAGCCTTGAGGGACAGCGTTCAAGCTCCATGACTGACCTAAATAAATAAATAAAAGAAATCAAAATCACTTTGCACTCTGAATGATAACACCCTTCTTTATTTCCTGAAATCTTTCATGGTATAATTTCTGTGGAAATCTGTGTATATCTTCTTAGTTTAGTTTACAGTAAACTTATAAAACCCCAGAGAGATAATGAATCTTCCAGTAGTATGAATCATAGACACACATCTGAGGTTTCCAACTGGAAGTTATTGCCTTCAACACCAATATCCTTCCTGGCTGATGGCCTTTGGGTCGGGGGTAGGGGTGGGAGTGGGATATCCTGAGTTACACAGGATATCCTCAAAGTCCCAGGCCTGCCAAAAATTCTTTAGGTATTCTCATTTTTGCTTTTAGAACTTTTTTAATGCATATAAGCATTTTAAAAAGTAGAACCATATGGTACTTAGTAGACACTATGCTGAGAATGAACTATACAACTTGTAGGCAGGAGACAGGAGGGAAAAACTGGGAGAGAGTGAAAGCAGGAGTGACATTGTCCAAAAAGAAATGTACTAATTATCTGACTTATAAAACAGTAACCCCTCTGTATATCACCTTTATAATCACAAGTTTTGCTTTAAAAAAATGGAGAACTGTAACATAGTCTTTCTTTCTTTCTTTTCTTTCTTTCTTTTTTTTGCTGGTTCTGGGCCTTGAACTCAGGGCCTGGGAACTATTCCTGAACTTCTAGCACTCTACCACTTGAGCCACAGCACCACTTCCCACTTTTTCTGTGTATGTGGTACTGAGGAATCGACCCCCCCACCCCCCCGGGGCTTCATGCATGCTAGGCAAGCACTCTAAGCCACATTCCCAGCCCTCCTCATTTTCTTATTTGGTGTATTTTTGGCATATTTCCATGGCAATACATTTATCCTAGTATCATCATTTTAATAGTTAGACATGTATTAAGTTAATCATTGCCCCATACCTACCCCTGCCTGGTGAATGTCTTTGTACATTTCATACTTCCTA